TTCTTTTTTTTTTCTTTTAATTCGTTTTTATTTTAGTTTTAGTAATTTTAGTTCTTAGTACCATTTAGACTTATTTTATTTCAGTTAGTTTCCAAGGCAGCATTTCCAATTTTCATTAAAAAAAAATTGTTTATCTAATATTTATATTTTAGTTGATTACAGCTTGATTAGAATGAAGAAAGATGATTTTTTAATAGTTTTAGTTAATAACAACTGGTTTATTTTAAGTAGAGCACTTATCACATTGGCTAATTTAACAGATTAGCACAGTTTTGTCATGTTAAAAATAAGATGACAAGAAAACATTTGTCCTTCATCTTTATAAATATAATCATTACAATATACAACAAACATAATACGTCAGCAGGATTATCTGAAGACATACAGACTTTTATCAGTCTTCTCATGATCCGACTATAAAGATGAAACACTAGCTGACTGTGTTTGATCCACACAGTGATTCATCATAGCGTGTAGTAATGTGAGTGCGGATGCAGTGTCGTGTGTGTGTGTGTGTGCAGATGATTCAGTGACTCTGGGCGACACTGGCGGCGGTGTGTTTAATGGAGAGAAGCGGGTGCTCTATTACGCAGACGCTCTGACAGAAATCGCCTTTGTCGTGCCGTCCCTCGGCGACTCGTCCGGTAAAACACTCTGTCTGCTCAGTTTCTGCATGCTTCTGGATTAGTTTCTGTATTTGTGTAATTTGTGGCTGAACAGAACTGAATTTGAGGCAGCAAGCGTCCTTTCTAGCACACTGTGGAGTATTGATTTCTCCATCTCTCATTAACCCATTTAGTGAATTCATATTTATTCATTTAATATGACAAATGTTCATTTCTCCTACCGTAGCCGAGTCCTCGGAGCACAGCTTCCCGACCGCAGACTCGGACTCTCAGATGGAGCTGTTACCCAGTTTACTGAAGCAACCCAACCTGACGCTGGAGCTCTTCCCCAACCACTCCGACAACATGGGACCAGCACAACGGGTAACTAAGCTCACTCTCAGACCTGAGCTTCAGATCACTGCAGTTATGAGACAGTTTAACCTGCCGGTGTATTGGTGTGTCACTAATTACCGTATTGGCCCGTAAGGTTTTCTTTCTCTTTTGTTTTTACTCGCGATATTTACAACACGCATTACATTACGTATTTCATGGCACACTCGTTTTATGCTTATTTTGCGCCACCTAGTGTTGTGGGTGTATTATTGACATGTCAAAGTCTAGACCCTGAATATAAGACCACCGCGTTTTTTCAGATGTATTTCCAAGAAAAAAATATCGTCTTATATTCGGGACAATACGGTACATCTCCCAGCAAAACACAGCTTTTCCCATTGCAACTGTTTACCTCAGTGTTACACATTTGTGACCCTACCATTGATGTATGGTTTGTTATGATAGGACAATATTTGGTCGAGATACAACTATTTGAAAATCTGGAATCTGAGGGTACAAAAAAATCTAAATATTGAGAAAATTGCAACCAAATGAAGTTCTTAGCAATGCATATTACTAATCAAAAATTAAGTTTTGATATATTTACGGTAGGAAATTTACTAAATATCTTTATGGAACATGATCTTTACTTAATGCACATTTGTCCTTGACTGCTGTTCTCATACATACATGCACATATATACATATATATATAGAGAGAGAGTATAGAGTTTGGAATTAAAATATCTTAATTATATTTTTAAAAAGAAGTCTCTTCTGCTCACCAGGGCTGCATTTACCTAACAATGTAAGTCCTTACTATCACTTTTTATGCATCCTTGATGAATAAAAGTATTAATTTCTTAAAAAAAAAAAATACATAAATACTGTCCCCAAACTTTTGAATGGTAGTGCATCACAGTTTCCTCAAAATATTGTGCAGCACAACTGTTTTCAACATAATAATAATAATATTGTTTCTTGAGCAGCAAATCAGCATATTAGAATGATTTCTGAAGATCATGTGACACTGAAGACTGGAGTAATGATGCTGAAAATACAGCTTTGATCACAGAAATAAATTACAGTTTAACAGATATTCACATAGAAAACAACTATTTTACATTCTAATAATATTTCACTGTTTATACTGTATTTTTTTATCAAATAAATGCAGCCTTGGTGAGCAGAAGAGACTTATTCCAAATCATGAACAAATCTTGATTGTTCCAGGTTTTTGACCAGTAGAGTGTAATGTTTATTCTTGCGCTCAGTCCCCGACAGTGAAAAGCAGGAAGTTGCCGGCTGGCAGGACGATACCGCCGTTAGGACCAGACGCCAAAGTGTTGGTCGTGTGGGTTGAGCGATACGATGACATAGGTAAAATGTTTTCCATTTACTTCCACTTAAGATGTAAAATAGATGCGTTCTGTGTGGCTCTTTAATTAATAAATCATTACTTTTCCTGCGTTTTCTCTCAGAGAACTTTCCTGTGTCTGAGTTATTGGCGGAGACGAGCACCGGTGTGGAGACAACCGTCAACAGCAGCGCTTCCAGGTAACAAACAGTTTGAAAGACCGATTACAGTTCCTGAATCCATCGATCTCATTCACCGTCACACGTGGTCTCTCTCAGGTCCAGCTCCTCAGAGAAGGATGTTCCCATAATATTCATCCATCCGCTGAAGACCGGCCTGTTTCGGGTCAAACTGCACGGTGCTCTGGGCAAATTCAACATGGTCATTCCTCTGGTGGACAACATGGTGGTCAGCAGGAGATCACTGGGTATGTGTGTGTGTGGGCGTGTGGGTGAGTGCGTGTGTGTGTGTGAGTGCGTGTGCGTGTGCGTGTGCGTGTGTGTGTGTGCGAGTGAGAGTGAGAGTGTGTGTGTGTGTGTGCGAGTGCGAGTGCGAGTGTGAGAGAGTGTGAGGTCTGCAGTGATGAATTTGTCATTCTCTTACTCTCTCCAGGATTCCTGGTGCGTCAGACTGTAATAAACGCGTGTCGGAGGAAGCGTCTCGAGAGCGACTCTTACAGCCCGCCACACGTGCGGCGGAAACAGAAAATCACAGAAATCGTGAACCGCTACCGTAACAAGCAGCTAGAGCCCGAGTTTTACACCTCGCTGTTCCTGGAGGTCAGAGAGACGAGCCTCAACCCGTAAACCAACACAGACCAACACAAACCAAGGTGGATTTCATCTGCGCTGGAGTTGGTGGTTTTGAATAATTTTTTTTATGTCGATTTGGCCAAATCCTCGCTCAACTCAAGCTGTTCTCTATCAGTGCCCACCTGACAGGATGATTATTGGTCCAGATCTTAAAATCGATCCTTTATGTCTCCTTTGAATCTCATAAAAAACCGGTCATGGTTATACAGTATTTCACCCCACAATAAATAAATTAAACACACACACATATATATATTACATAAACAAAATGAAGCGTGTTTTTAGAGATTCTTGATCATTAAGAGTTTTTGTGACATTATTTTCAGCACATTTCCTCCCCAAATTGTTAATACATATATTTTTATTTATAATAAATATTTTTAAATTTAATAAATAATAATAATTTATAAAGAATACTTTTCATTTCTCAAATGTGATTTTCATTACTGTAATACCACAAAAATACTGTAGCACAATATTTTTTTTAAGTTGTCATAATTAATAGGCAGTACAACAAATACCACCATGATGTAAAAATATTTTAAAATTTAAAAAAAAAATTTTTGCATTTTTTTGTTTGTTTTTTATTTTTATTCTTTGTTTTTGTTTTGTTTTTGCATTGCAAAAAATGTAAATTCAGTCTTAAAAACAGGCTTTATTTTCTTCATGTAAATATAATTTCGTATTTCTTGTGATTTCGGAGAGGTTTGGTGAGACTCACCCTGTTACTATACTTCACAATGAATGACATTACTTCATCATGTTTATTATCTGAAGGAACGTCCTCAACATGAAGCCATCTCCTCTAGAAGCACTACGAAAATGAACACTAAACTCCAGCAGCCAATGATCTGATGCAGGTCGCTTCTTCCTCTTCCTCTTCAGGTCATGCGTATCACTTTTCATCATGTAGTTCAGTCCGCTCACTTCAGCGGAAAGCTGTTTCAGTCTACAGACGATGAGGAGCGACATATATGTATGTATTTTAATGGTTTAAACTGCTAGACAAACTATTGAGTACGGAGCGATTTTCACCATGATGCTACTTTACTTCCTCCGTAATGCATTCCAGTCGAAAGACATTATAAGGGCTTATCATTTATTTCCCTTCTTTTATTTAGTGTTCCTGACTCTTTCACATTCGCTACATTTCAGAGTTTAAATCATCAAATCAAGCTGAATTCACCTTTTTAGCAGCATGCTCTAGAAAGCACTACAGGAGTAACCCATTCCTGTATTGATTTATTTCAGTTGTCCATTATGAAATGCCTTTAAATGCAGACGTCACCCAAACACAGCCAGTTTTGATGTCCGGTTATGCATAATAATAATTCTGGAAGAGATTTGCACGTCACGTCCCATTTTTGTGGTCAGAAGCTCCCTATTAACGCTGCGTTTCTTTTGTAAGAACAAACTGTAAAGGACGGTTGCTCGGAGGTGTGTAAATATTGACGGCATGAACTTTGTATAAAGTTTGACTTTCTATGTAAATATACGCGGGTGTGAAGTTCTGCTCACTCATCTTATACTATTGATTAGGGACGGCACAACAGATGAACACTTGTTTGTATTTATGCCATCATATACGTGTCCAAACGAAACATTGGATATTGAATGTAACACATGTAATGGAATAAAGATTTTAATGAAATTCTTATCAGATAACGGCTGCGGCTGCTTTGCTGGGAGTGTTTTTATTCCGTTTTTCACCTGGACAGAAGTTGTGTCTGATGCGAAGGCAGCTCTTTATGGCGATAAAACCCGGTTATTACCCAACAATCATCTTGCACACTGGTTTCCATGAATAGGATACAAAATAGAGCTTGAAAATGAAGTCAAAATTTGTTCTTATTCAACAAGAGGTCAGTGAATGAAGCGGCTTCACCTGCAGAAAATATTGATCATACTTCTCGGTAGATTAAAATACTGTGCATGCGTTTCATTTTATGTGTATTTTATATGAGGTTTGTAGTTAGTAATATGAATTATTGAGACACTGATAAAAAACATTTTATTTTTAAAAAATCATTTAAAACCCTGATTTGTGTTGGGTTATTTGGTAATAACTCATTGAGATTATTTACTTTTATTCTTACAATTTTATGCTGGTAATTTTATGTTATATCATAGTTTATCCAACTAACCTAATGGATATTTTTCCAGGGAATGTGATATATTTATATTTACAGTTATATTTATGCCTCATTAGTAGTTTATGCTCAATTAATAGTTCAAAAATCTTAACTGTAATTAAATTTTTTTTTTATTATTATTATTTTTACTGGAAAAAATGGGAACAAATATTTTACATTTCTGTTAGACGGTTGGCGAACACACGCATACATATACATATATATATTTATTAAAATATATATTTTATGGCGGTTTGTGTTAAAGAATTGTGTTATAATAACCCCTACAAATACAACTGATTATATACACCATAAACACTAAAGGAGACAGACGTGTTGATGTTTGTGAAAGATGTTTTCTCTGTTTTGGAGGGATTATTATTCTTAAATCATACCCTATTTATTGCATCAAAATGTGTTAATACTTTACTATATTTAAGGGTGGATAATTTTATCAGTTGTTTATTGCAACAATACATAACTACAATAACTTTGTCTAGTGCTCTTATGAAAGTTTATAGCATGATTTGTGAAAATGTAACTATACTGAATGACATGCATAGACTTCTTCATGGCTAGTTTTTGCGTATTTCATTTCTTTCTGTAACCCACTTGTTCTACAGATCTGTGTGTACTAGTGTTAAATGCTACTGTTTTTGACATAACGTTTATGACAGATAATATGATAATTTTTGCGTTTCTCTTACCGAATGTCGTATCCTGTCAGCAAAAACCTGTCCATGGGCTTTTTTGATTGCTTTCAGTTTAAGAACACCGGCCATGCAGTGTTGCCAGATATTGATACTAAAACAAACAAAAAACTAAAAATAAATAAAAAATAAACCGAAATTATTTCCAATCTTTTGCAAGATAAGATAAAGATAGAAGTCGCTGGGGTATATTTGTATTATAGATTTGTATTATAATTATAGATTTTTCTTTTATGCCAAAAATCATTAGGATATTAAGTAAAGATCATGCTCCATGAAGATATTTTGTATATTTCCTACCGTAAATATATCAAAACTTTTTTGATTAGTAATATGCATTGCTAAGAACTTCATTTGATTGCAATTTTCTCAATATTTAGATTTTTTTTTTGCACCCTCAGATTCCAGATTTTCAAATAGTTGTATCTCGGCCAAATATTGTCCTATC